AGGGCAGGGAGCATTCTATTGGCCATCGATCTCGATATGATCGAAAGCGTCTTATTCATCGCCAGTCGACTTCTCCTTTGGGATCACCTTCTGATGACCAATACTGGTCTGATGAATGGGATCGGCCGGATTACTATCCGAGGTCTCCTACTCCTCGCCGACACTGGTATGATCGCCTTCGTCACTTTGAACGTCATGAGCATCCACGCTCTTTGGATCGCACCAGACGATCTTGGTCCGTGACTTCAGCCCGCTCTGTGGCCCCTGACCAGCCTCCTGACCTCTCGAGACCTAGGGATGCCCCAAAGTGTTCTCTCTCAGAGCCTGGGCTTCATCCCCCTTTTGATGACTTGATACTGGCTGATCTCACTCAACAGCGGAGATCCTCCTCTCCCATGTCGATTTCCGACAACTCGGATTCGGCAGACCTCGAACTCGATGTTCCACACATCGAAGATGAGCTTCGGCCCTCAGGGTCTGTTTCACCTACTGAAGGCACGAAAGTGTATCTGGAACTTGTAACCAGGTTGGCATCCGCGCTTCAGGTCCAGGGTTCCACTGAATCCCCGGCTGTGACTGATGTCGTTCACAAACTTGTTCAGGCTGACCTCCCGCCTTCTACGGTCCTGCCTGTATTGCCAGTCCACCTTTCTGCCCTCAAGGAGACATGGGCTCATACCGCTTCTATTCTCCCAGTTGCCAGGCGATACGAAGCTCTCTATAAGGTCCAAGAGAGCTCGGGGACGTTTCTCTTCAGGCAGCCTCCACCAAAATCCATGGTTGTACAATCTTCTTAGAAATCGAAGCAATCTGCCCGCCACTCTGCGCCTCCCGATTGCGAGGGCCACAAAATTGATGTTATCGCGAGGAAGCTGTATCCCTTCGCCTCTATGAATCTTCGTATTGACACCTACCTGTCATATCTGTCGGCCTATGCCTTTAATGTGGCTAATGCAGTCCATCCCGTCTTGCAGTTTGTTCTGGAGGAACACCGTCCAACGTTGTCAGGAGCTTTATCAGAAATTTGCACGATCTCGAAACAGCAAATTAATTCAGTCCGTCAGGCTGTCACTTGCTTCTCGAAAGTTCTTGTCTCCTCCGTCGGGCTCCGTCGTCATGCTTGGCTAAGAGGTACCTCTTTACAGCTTGACATGAAATTCCGCATTGAGGATCTCCCCTTCGATGGCGAAGGTCTCTTCCACTCTACCACTGACGAAGCCTTAAAGGCTGTCGATGATAGTCGGAAGCAGGCT